ATAATGAAAAAGGGTTATGGTAAGATTCGAACCACCGACTTACCACTTGGGGACCATTGCTTCACCACTAGACTACAAGATCATGTGCTGAAGAGCTATGATTATTTAATATACTTTATCTTTTTACGAAGTTCATAATGAAAAACGGGTATGGTAAGATTTGACCATCGATTTACCATTTGGAGACCATTGTCTTCACCACTAGACTTCGAGAACATGTGCTGAACAGCTATTTAATATTGATTTACTTTAACCTTTTCACGAAGTTCATGATGATAAAACAGCTTGGTAAGATTCGAACCATCGATTACCACTTTGGAGACCATTGTCTTCACCAATTGACTATGAGATCATGTGCTGAGCGGCTATGAATATTTGATTTACTTTAACGCTTTTGGCAAAGGACATAATGAAAAGGGTTATGGTAAGATTCGAATACTGACTTACCACTTGGGAGACCATTGCCTTCACCACTAGACTACAAGATCATTGCTGAAGAGCTATGATTATTAATATACTTTACTTTTTCACGAAGTTCATAATGAAAAAACGGGTATGGTAAGATGAACCATCGATTTACCATTTGGGAGACCATTTCTTCACCACTAGACTTCGAGAACATGTGCTGAACAGCTATTTAATATTTGATTTACTTTAACCTTTTAACGAAGTTCATGATGATAAAACGGTCATGATAAGATTCGAACCACGATTTGCCACTTTGGGAGACCATTGTCTTCACCATAAATATGACATCATGTGCTGAGTAGCTATGAATATTTGATTTATTTTAACGTTTTTGACAAAGGACATAATGAAAAAGGGTTATGGTAAGATTCGAACCATCGACTTACCACTTGGGAGACCATTGCCTTTAGCACTAGACTACAAGATCATGTGCTGAAGGGCTATGATTATTTAATTTACTTTATCTTTTTCACAAAGTTCATAATGAAAAAACGGTTATAATAAGATTCGAACCATCGACTTACCACTTAGGAGACCATTGTCTCACCCTAGGCTACAAGATCATTTGCTGAAGGGCTATGATTATCTAATTGCTTTATCTTTTTTCACGTTGTTCATAATGAAAAACGGTTGTGGTAAGATTGAATCATCAATTTACCATTTGGAAGTTCACTGCCTTCACCACTAGACTACAAGATCATGTGCTTAACGGCTAGGATTATTTCATTTTCTTTATCTTTTTCACGAAGTTCATAATGAAAAAACGGTTATAGTAAGATTCGAACCAGATTCGGACGTTCCTGGACTCGAATCCTAAGTTTAAAATGGAGAGCATTGCGTCACCACTAGACCAGCAGAACCTCAGGAGTGTCACTACTGTTTTATTTTTACCTATTTTTATTTAAACAACCTTTTTTCGAAGGATTTTACGTAAGTTTAAATACGTTTGCTTGGATGATGATGATTTCTATTTTGTCTAAAACGCACAAACGTGAATCTTATTCGTAACTTTAAACCTAATTGATTCATTATGCTGACGCTACCGGTGTCCCAAAAAAAGTACCTATTTTTAATTCAACATAACTTAAAAAACGAACTAAAGAATGCAATAAAATAGTCATGTGTAGTTGAGTAATGTCTAACTTAAAGGTTTGATATATTTGATATGAGTTTGAGCAAGTAGTTTCCGAGATATTCGCGTTTAAAGCACAGTAACGTTTTGAATGTGTCAAAATCAGCAAATAATGGCTTGTTAAATGCAACAATCTGATATCTACAGGGGCAATTTCCTGGTCGACTCATGAGTTAAACGTGGCGATTGGCCATGGCCTCCACGCTCCCCTATCCTGACGGTGTGTGATTTCTTCCTCTGGGCTATTAAACAGCAGATTTGGGAAGTTCCTCATGACCAACAACCTCAAAAACTTGGAGATCTTCGCGAGGCGATTGTTAGGTCATGTCGCTATTTGGACGCCCACATGATTAAAAGGTCTTTTGATAGCATGCTGAAACGGGCAAGAAAGTGCGTTGCTGCTGGTGGACATGAATTTGCAGATGAATTAGAGCAAGTAAAAAAACGATTTTTAGAAAAACAACTAAAAATATGTTACAAGATACCATGTTAGGAACCGTAGTTTGAAACAGTTTAATAGGCCATTTTTTCCTGATTTTTGACAAGTTTCAAAACGTTGCTACGACTTTAAACGCAAATATCTCAGACACTACTCGCTTCAAACTTCATATGTAATATATCAAACTTTAAGTTAGACATTACTCCACTTAATATAGATTGTTTGATTGCAATTCTTTAGTTTCCTTACAAGTTATGTTGAATTAAAAAAAGGTACTTTTTTGGGACACCCAGCATAATATCACAGGTATGGAGACCATTGAGAAAAGGTGCAGCGTTATTTCACCATAAGCTAGTTATATGCGGCCCAGGTGAAGCAAATGGTTACGGTGCGATTGTTTTGTATTTTTAATGAAGTCAAGTCTGATTTCACAGATCACAAATTAAAATTTGAGGAAAATGGTAATTCAGATTCATTAGAATGTTTCAACATTTTCCACTTATTTCATAGCTGAAATTGTACTCCAAATCTCCATTATAACGCAAAAAATATTATAACTCTACTTCTCTTAAGCTGCGTTTACACGGTACCATCCGCTCGTCACAACATCTTCGTTTCCATGCAGCGTACACCTAAGATCCTATAAGACACAGTCACTGTCGGTCACAGCACGGCTACGATCCCCAGTCTGATTTATTTATGTCAATTTCTTTCTTATATTACATCCCGTCAATTACGTTATCACAATCGCTTAATCATCATGTTCCTCTAGCAAATTGTAGTTACCAGATTATGTATTGCGATATGCATTATTTACGCAATCATTTTGATCGCGCGTCACACTTTCTTCTCACATTAGTTTTGGTCCCGAAAACGGTAAAAGTTGATACAGAAACTACGATCAAATCTCCCGATTCCTGACCAAGACAACAAACCAGGACAAGCAAACTTTCCCTGCTCAGTAGGCATAAAGTAAGGTTTTAGATTGTCGTGATGGACCATGAACTCTCGACCTGTTTTCTGATCTAATCTTATAATTTACGCCTAGTCTTCCTAAAATAGTGTGAGGTCCAAGCTGTTTGGGACAGAATTTCCACTCCTTTGGCCGCCTAAGCCATACATGCTCAAGCCATACAAAATCTAGTTTCCTGCTGACCAAGCAAGTCCGACGAAGCGAGGAGTCCTCGGAAGGATCGCGAAAGTTTATGATTCTCTCGGGTTGATTTCGCCCATTATTCTGCAAGGAAAGTTCCTCTACCACGAGTGTTGTGACGCTAAGGTCCCCTGGGATGCCAAACTGCCTCGTGAGTTAGAAGCTAGATGGACGGCGTGAGAGAAAAGCCTACAGAGAACGTGACCGCACCAATTAAGGAGTCTAGCTAAGTTCCAGTAGCCAATTGAAGATACAGGTCATTAGACCCTTACAAAAATAAACTATAGTTTTTAAAGGCGAAACTATAGTTTTAATAACTGTAGTATTTTGGAATAAAACTTCAGTGTCTGAAACTATAGTTTTTAGTGAAAACTATAGGTTAAAAACTATAGGTTTTTCGAAACTATAGTTTTTACATGGAAGCAAAAGGTATTCTTTAAAAAAAATATTTTGACGTTTACCCAAATAATAACTGCTGCACAAAGCAGCTTTAATTTCACGAAGCTAACACAGTTCTAGTCATGCTGCCAATAATCAAACGATATTTTACGAAAAGGAATTACGTTTTATTTTACTTCGGTCTTTAGTACAGGGGATTTTATTATTAGAATATAATAAATGCAGAATATAAAAAAGAACTACTGTTTTGAAATTTAGGCATTTACTTAATTTAAAGGGCTAAAAACTTTCCTACAATGATACCCTTTCTTAGTATATGTTCAAAAAATTCCTGTGCCATAATACTGTTATTCTTGTTGCTTTTTGAACGCCTGTTCCTCATTGTTCAGTTTAAACTTGATAGCTTTGACAATGTCCTCGTCAATAACAGGCCGCTGAAGTTCGGTGTATCTTACACTCTTGGCGTATTCTACACAAAACATAAAGAAGGGCTAAATTACTAAATCAGTAAATATGCCAACACTGCGTTTTTCCTTCAAATGCTGATTAGGTAAACAGAATAGTCCGTCTTTGCAATACAAAGATTACGTATACACTCAAAACCAAAAACCTACTTATTAGGGAAGCTGTGTAGTTTGTATCGCTTTGGCTTTGTTTGCCCATTCTTCCCTTTCTGCCTTTGTAACTGTGTGTCGCCATGTACTCTCTTGTGAGTGTTGCTCCCATCAGGTTTGCCACAAATGATCCTACTTTCTTCGTCTTTATTCGTTGAAGCACATTCTTTGAAATCGACAAGCCTGGTCCCAGAACAACCTGGTAGAAAATAAATCAATACAATAAATTAGTAAAAAAGGTGAAAAAACAATGTAAAGTCATCCAATGAACAAAATGTTTTAAACCACGGTACTAATAATTCCATTTTCAAGACACACTCTACCTAAACCACTTTGCGTGTATTGAAATCAGAATGTAAAATTTTAAAATTCTCCCATTTACAGTGCATTTGAAAGACCTACCTTATCTGCCATAACATCAGCCAATCCAGACTGTGTGTCACTTCCACAAATTTTTGAGGAAGCATATGTGTCCTTCTCTAACTCCTGGACCTAGTTGTCATCATCACAGCCTTGTATTTCCTTACTTTTGTCTTTCAACAAGTTGTCTTTCGCTAATTGCAATTACGGTTGGTTCCTCTGTAGCAAATTCTGAAAAACCACTCATCGATGTGGGAGAAGATCTGGTTGATGAGCTTGACACAGATGAGATAGGAGACGATCTTCCATGATCCATGGTTGTCAAAGGAGACAATCTTGCGGAAGGCTCGTATGCTCGTACGCTCTGTTGTGAACCAAATTTTGGTGCTTGGTTTGAAAAGCCTTCCAAGGATGCAACATACTTCTTCAGTTTTCTCAAAGAACTTTTAAATCTATAAGAAAATTAAAATGCATTAGCCAAAGACTAGGAAACATGAAATCAGAATAACAGTAAATCATTGCCTTTTTGTGAGTGGCTAATGAATGGTGAGGAAAAGGCAAAATAAATGGCTTGTCCTAGCTTAATGCACCAGGATCATGGATTGTCCGCCGATCACCCGTCTTGTGGCACATTTTGATTAAAAGTTGGACAAATCTTTTTGAACAAGCTTACCATCACTACTTTCGATTTGTTCCCGAAGTCTTTCATTTTCACTTTTTAGGTGTTTGATTGTTGCCAGAAGCGTTCTATTTTCTCTTAAATGTTTGCAATCTTCATCACATACACTGTTGTCATCAAATAATTTAAGACTTTCCTAAATATTAAATTATAAGCAATGAATACATATGTGTGCTGCCTGTGCACCAATGGACGACTTGCGCTTTAGACTAATTTCTTACATTGACGATAAAGGACATTTTCTGAAAGAGCTTACTAAAATTAGTAAAACTGCCAAGTTTGGCTGGAAGTTGTTGTAAAATACGGAAAATACAGCCATGCGAAGTTGACGATTTTTGTATACTTTTGTATTATGGCTGGAAGTTTGTAACTAATTTAGTTACACATTTCCGCACGTAATACAAAGTATACAAAATATGCCAACTTCGCATGGCTATACTTTCCGTATTTTACAAATTTTGCAGCCAAACTTTGCATCTGCACTAATTTAAGTAAGATCTTTCCAGCGGTGGTGATTTATTTTCTTCTAGTCACTTCTATCAAAAATTAGTCTAAAGCGCAAGTCGTCCATTGGCATCTTTCCTACTTATCAACAACTGCAAGAATGTAATGTGTTCTTACTAAACTCATGTGTCTATCTACCATCTCAGGTAGTATAAGGAAGCTTTTATATTACTGCTTTTCAATGCTAAAAGCTTAAATAATGTTAACATTTAGCTTTCACATCGTCTTATATACAAGGTGATTTTACTCTTTCTGACAGAGGCTTCCTTTTGACCTGTAACTATACAAACCTTCCTGTATGTTTCCTGTATCATGTTAGCCAGATTGGTTGATCGCTTTGATTGCTCAGCATTTTTAGATGCTGCTTTCTGCCTCTTCGTTGCAGCTGGTTCTTGCTGAAGAAAAACAGGATCAGAAAATAATGTGGGGAATATAAACTATGCACATAACTTGCTCATTACTATTATTTTTGTATATGTGCTCAAAAAACCTTGTTAGAGAAAATTTGGAATGGAAAAATTATCTCTGTAACTTTAAGACTTTTACCTGTCTTTCTGTGTCACTGTCGCTATCATTTATAACACGGAAACCTTTGCCTGTTTTAACCGGAGAATCATCTTCTCTCATGTATTTGAGTAACCAGTCTTTGTCATCTATTGTTTATTTAAAATATAACAAATATGAACAAAGATTATGGCAGGGATGGACTTGGTGCTGATTTCTGAATATGTCGTATCTAAAAGTGGGAAGTAATATATGCTGTTATATAGACAAATATTAAATTACTTGAGACTTCACACACTCTGCTCTGAATTATTTGGGATCATTTAGATGATTAGGACTTCAATCACCATGATATGAATTATACTTCAAACATGATTATATTTCAAAACAGCCTGATCTGAATCATTTGGGATCATTTATATGATTAGGACTTGAATATATTAACTATAAAACCCATCTTACTCTAAATAAATTATATTTATTTCAAGACATAAAACGCCAAAGGCGAACAATAATGACTCAAGGAATATATAAACTTAATTTCAAACCTGATATCTTTACAATCTCGGCAGGGAATTTTCTTTTGGTTGCTTTCTTGGATTTTGTATCTTTCCAAAGAACCAAAATTTTTGACATCCCAAGCATTCTCTTCGAAGAAATTAACCAAAGCGTAAGCCATTAAGTCGTTTAATTGCCGAGGTCTTTAAAACACTGTTGTCGGTAAATTCGAAATGGCCGCCAAGAGAGTTGGCATGTCATACTCAGGTCACATGTGGGCAAATTAAAATGCGAGCATGCCCATATTAGGGAATAATCGGATATTCACGTCTCGTCTCGACGCAATAGTTTCCCAAAATATCCCAAAATATCCCAACTAATCCCAACATATTTCTTTTGTGATTTTCCTCCGATCTGCCGTTTTCCTTGAACTAATTACTGAAACTGTTAAAAGATAAAAGATTCTGAGAGTCTTGAAGATGGTCAAAGGTTAAACACGCTTATGTGTTGAGTACAAAGGTATGTAAATGTTAATGTATGCTAAATATTGGTAATCGAAATCTATATATATATATATATATATATATATATATATATATATATATATATATTTATATATATATATATATATATTATTATATATATATATATGTATCGCAAATCACTTTTTCTTGACTACAGATTATGCAAATAAAAAAGTGCAGCTATAGTTTCTCTAGAATAACTATAGTTTTATTAGTAACCATTTGTTGTAAACTATAGGTCTTTAAAAAAACTATAGTTCAAATTTAGTTTCAATTATAACTATAGTTTCCAGCGGCTACTATTTGTTGAAAACTATAGTTTTTAAAACAACTATAGTTAAAGTATAGTTTGGAACAAAACTATAGTTTCGAAAAACTGTAGTTTCTGTATTTGGAAACTATAGTGTCACGAATAACTATAGTGTTTTGTCTGAAACTATAGTTGTTCAGAAGAACTAAAGTTTTAAGGCAAAAAACTATAGTTATTTTGTCGAAACTATAGTTAGTTTTTGTAAGGGGATCAAGATCATTAGATCTGGTCGCACAAGAAAGACAGTATAGAATTTAGTGCTTTAGATTTTAACATATATTTCGAACAGTTGCGTTAAAATTAATTCAATCAAGTTAACATTTATTGGGACGGTGAACACTGAACGAGGCACAACTTTTATATTCTAATACTTTTTAAATTATAATAGGGGGGGGGTGTTGGATTTTATGCGGAAATAGAATGATTATTATAATGCATGCAAACGTCATGGGTATAAATTATACTGCATGGGGATCAATAGTAAGTAAGAAAATTGGATAATTAAGGACAGATTGGAAGTGAGGGTTAAACACACAAATTCCCAACACAGCCTCCTACTGCCATGAATGACCGGTCTTGTTAAAAACAAATATTATAGGTAAATAAAAATATCTACAATCCCTCGCGAACATCGTCGTCTTATATATTATAATTTCTTATCTTCGCTTTTACCTGGGAGAGTGTCCATTTCCCAGCTGCCTTGACAGACAGCGCAGCCTTGGAACACTCTGGCTTGAGATGCACGTGACTAGGCTGACCTTTGACCGTGAAACTGTCCGTAGTTGAGAAACTTTCCCGAAGCTGAGACTTGCTGACTTCGTCCCCGCGATGGGTTAATCCAGAACTGTCCTCGTCTAGTAGTTTCCAGACATCTTGTAACGACGCGCGGTCGTCTGATGAGAACGAAGGTTGCCATCGCGAGACGATTTCGTCACGAACAGTAGACGATTCCGGTAGGCCTGCTTTTTCTGCGAGTTCCGTGTTTGAAGAGTGTTTTTGAAGTTTTGGGCCGACGCGGAATTTTTTTTGCGAGGAGATAGCGAATGCTGATCATTATTCCTCGCTAGTGTTCTCTGTGCATACTGCATGCAGTTCTTTGCTTGTTAGTTCATATTGCAACTGTTCCAAACCCCGTAGTTGGGATCGGGATGTTTGCGCCACATTCTGCGGATCTTTGGACGATTGACGTGCCTCAATTGAAGGCGATTTTTTCCCTCCTAATATATAACGATAGAATAACATTCTAAAATCAAAACGGTGGCAGCGGTACACTAATCGATTTTACCACGAGATTACTTATTTCAGCATCTCTCATTATACCAAAGCCGCCACGCTGCGGAGAAACAAGAAATTTTCGTGTTCTCAATAATTGTAGTTTTTCTCAACTTCTATTATATAGGTTTAAACTTTTGTTCTTAACAATTTATCAAAAATGGTTTAAAGACGCTCTGCAAAACAATTTTATTTCATATTTCAATCAAAGGACGCATTAAACGAATGTTTAGTCCACCCGTTTTCGGTACATTTTCAAGTACAAGTTTAACTTATATCTTATCAATTAACTTGCATGTTTTCTTTCAACAGTTCCAATTGAAGTTTTTCGCCATATGCTTATAACCGACCGGCGTTTGCCCAGACCTTATTCCGCGGTGTTCTGGAGCCCGGTCACGTGTCACTACCCTACATGCGGTAGTGACGTAATCATCGCGGGATCTCTTTGCACATGCAGTTAGTCTTTTGCGAACAACAGAAGCTACGCATCATGATTATAGGAAAAATGTATTCAATTCATTCTTACAGTAATTTATTTCGACTAACGTATATATATTAATGCCATCTTAATAGATATTCCAAAATATCCCTTCAAATACCTTTATATTTCAACAATTCAGCTCTCAGCTTATTTCCCATTTTAATCAACTGTTTGCGTTCTTTTGTTACTCCATTTTTCCGTTGAGCAGCTTGACGTAGTTTGGTGTGTAATCCTTTAGATGACGATACTACTCCCTTCATACCAGGGACTTCTGAAAAAAAAGGAAAACGTTTAAAATTTAAATCCTGACAAAATCATTCAGAATTTTATGAAGTGAATTTAGGGTTTGTTATGTGTTGATGAGAAATGTTGATGAAAGGTTTTCCAGCCGCAATCAATTTACTGTTTTGGAAAAGGTCGTAACTTACAAATTGTGAACGGGTTTGAATGAAATATAACTCCATAGACAGGCGTCATAGTTATATCACGCTATTTTAGGTGGATCAGAACAGCAAGAGATATGCATTCTATATATGGTTAACAACTGACAGTGGTTGGGTTACATCACAATCTATACGTTTCAATTAATTCAGTAGATTTAGAATGTTCTACGGCAGTCGTGATTGTTAAGATTCTAAACACAAATAAAGATAGTATTTCAAAAGCGTCAGACAGTACACTCACCTTTCTCTCGAAGGTCTTGTATAAACTGACTTTCTGGATTGTACGTATTCACACTCAAAAAAAGGTGTGTTCAAATAACACACCTTTTTTGTCCAGAATATAACACAGGTTAAGGTGTGTTTTCTTACACACGCAGGTGTGTCCCAAAACACACCTTAAGGTGTGTTTCTTGCTTGTCCAGAATTTGACACACATAAGGTGTGTTTTGCAAAAGGTGTGCTTTAGTACACACTAAGGTGTGTTTTGAAACACACTGTGTGTTTTCCTACACAACTTTGGTGTGTTTTCCTACACAACTTTGGTGTGTTCCAAGACACATACTGCTAGGTGGTGCAAGGTGTGTTTTGGAACACACTAAGGTGTGCTACCCAACACACAAGATCAAATTGCCTAGGGCAATTATCTAAATAGAATGAATAGTCAGAACAGTTTGTCCATAAACAGTGAAATATGTATTAAAAATAGAAAACATTATCATACAAGAAAACACTTACATATATTCACAACAAATATTTAAAAGTCATATGGAAAATTTGCCTTAATAATAATTTGCCTTAAATATATGGCATGCATATAATATAAGCATGAATGTCCAGGCATGTATAAATTGTTCTAATCAGAATTGTCCTTAATTCCTTGGTGCACCTTTGCCATAAATGAGGAAAATTTTGTTCCTCTGTAGTTGCCATCATTTGTTGGCAAAAGAATGTCTTGTAGGAAAAGCAAGCATCCTTCCATACTTTCAGGGTAGGAGACGTGATATGCATAGTAACAACAAAGCAGGTCGATCAAACCTTGGAGTATACCTTCACTCTCAATAAATGACTGGTCTTCACCTGCCACAAAAACTTGGTTGACCTCCTCAGGAGACCCAATCACAACCAAGCGAAACTCGACATTCTTGTCTTTGAACAAGGTTTCTGGTCTCATGGTGGATGCAGGCTGTAAAAAAAATTAAAACAGTTAATTACAATTCCAGCATTGAGGTAAACCTAAAGATTAAGATCATTGATTTGCCACAGCTATCTACAGAGTGTGCAAGGTGCAATTGACAAATACATACATCTTTGAATTTTAGAACACTTGTTGTTGTTCCTTTGTTCCTTTTTGTCTTTCTCTCAATTTGCTCCACAGCCTCCACAACCTGTTCACTTCTCATTTCACATTCCTTATCCTTAATTTGTATGACAGCTTTCAATGCAGTCTCCAACTTCTTTTCAGCCTCTTTTTCCCAATTTTTCTGCCCAATGATTCTGCTAACTTCTTTTCTTACCTAATTAAGATAATCAAAGACATTTTGCAGGTGTTTGAAACAAGTTGCCATTGCTTCAATAGGGTTACCCATTGTTTTAATATTATACCCTAAAAACTACATGTGTATATGACTGCACAAGACATCATGTGAAGATACTTACAACATTTGGATGACCAAGATATGGACATTCCTCCAAGACCTCTGTAGAAGATGTAGCTTGATTTTCGATAATTTCCTCCGCTCATTAAATGTGTCGACAAAGAGTTTTGCAAATGTTTAGGAGCCATTGCACCAGGTTTTGCTTTTTTCAAAAGCTCCATATTTCTTTTTTGAGCTTGCTCATCATCCTCTGCAGTCAGTTTTATTTTCTTTGATGCACTTTCATTTGCATGGCCATGGGGTTGTCCATGCATCGCTTTGTTAACTGTCCGCCGCCGAAGGTTTCTGAAGAATTGCGACAATTGTTTCTGGATTGATACCTATATATGTAGACAAAATATGATATTTGGGATTAGGATCATTGCCATGACAAGTATATTTTAAGTACATATACAGAATATTCCCTCTTGTGACACTTACCCAATAGCTTGCTTGATTGAATCTCTCAACTCAGGGAATTTCTCGCACACTAAAATGGCAATCCTCTTGTAGTCACCTTGCTTTGGGTGGCTGGACAAACCATAATAAAAGGTCCCTACATCTGCAATCAGCTGTGTTCGCTCAGGGGCAACAGAGCCATTTTTTATTGCCATCTGCACTCGCACAGAGAAACTCTCAGGAAATGGGAGAGTGTTTGGTAGGGCTGTGGCATCTGAACTATTAGTAATAGGTTTGGGACTCTTGAGTGGTTTCTTCATTTGAACACCTGCTTTCACACTTTCAACACTGCTTTCACATGCCATGGTTGGCAAAGGTGGTTCCACTGGCAAAGGTGGTTCCACTGGCAAAGGTGGTTCAGTTGGCATTGGTGGTTCTAGCTCTGATGTGTGTGGTTCATCATCATGTGGCATCACAATTTGCTGAGGCATTTTTTCCTATTATTGACAAATAGTAAATACTTTCATGTAAAATATTGAGAAGTAGTCATTATTAGTGATGGGAATACAATTGATTATTTCAATTGCCCAATGTGACAGTGCCTTCTCTCGGCTTATAATTTTCAATTAGTACTGTTATATAAAAGCCTGTTAGGCAAACTAAAGGAATTAACGACAAATTAATATTCTTGTTAAATCAAAGTTTATATTTATATCCTGTTTAAACAAAGTAAACTTACGTTTTCTGTTGTCGCAGATAAAGTAAAGGCCAATTTTTGTTTTAGTTGAATTCGATAGCCAGATTTAGGTAAGACCGCTTTGAATTCGTCGATGTCTTGCATCAAAAAGTTCAATGTACCCCCATCAATAGCATTTTCTGAAACATTATAATCATAAACTGTTAGTAGATCGTATTCATTAAACTGTATAATAAAAAGAAAGCTTAACGCACACATAAAAACTTAAACGCTTTAGCATTTTGGCAATGGTTCAACCACATGAGGCATACCTTTCAGTTGATCGCAAATTTCTCTTGAGATGCCTTTTGATAACAAGTGAGCAATAAGGTCTTCAGTGAACATTGCTACTAAACACACAGCCATACTTGTGATGAAATTATATTTAAAAAACGGAGTAAATGTTGTGAGTAATCTTCTTGGAACGTCGAACGGGCAAGATATCAGTCAAATTTTTACAAGCAGGTCTAAATTTCCCGCATCACACCATAGGGAATTCCTATTGGCAGACTTACGGTCACGTGTTACTTTAAATACATATATGGTATTCCCAGTGGTAACATTACCGTGAGAGAATAGAATGGCTCCCAGGCCTTTTGCAAATGCTCCAATTTTTCGAATATCGATTGAAAACATACTGGGAAATAAACTAAGTATTAAAAGCAGTAAGGCACAAGGCGAAATAATGTGTTTTTAGTATATACAAATGGCCGTCAACTGAATTTCGCTGCGATTACTGTAATTTTGTATGTTGCAGCGGACAAAGTAAGCTTTTTTTTATCACTTGGTTAAATACACTCAAACGAGCCGAATTTCAAGATATTTTGTAACAGCTGTCCACGGTCGTTTACAAAGATAAACAGTCTCCAAAAACATTATTACAGACAGCATGAGGCTTTAACAGTGGAAGAAGACTTAAATGATGGGGAAAATGAGAACCATTTTCAGGAGATGTTTGACGAGGGAGAAGCACGAAGTCTAATGCAACGCCATGCTGCCAAATTCCTTTTATGTTCCAAAACAAGAGGTATGCTCACCCAGAGTGCCGTGGACTTGGTCAAAGATTCAGCGAAAAATCTACTAACTGAGTATTTGGACATAGTCAAAAAATCGCTTGTCGAAAAGATAAACAGTAATCCTGGTCAAGAATTGCAATTTGACCAAGATGTGGAAAAGTTATTTTCAGCAGAGAGTGTCTTCGACGGAGTTGATTCAGAATACCAACAAAGATCATATTTTAAGCGTCATTTCAATTTGGTGGTAAGTTACCAACCTACCAAACCTGAACCAGCTGCCAGCTTTGTCAGCTTGCTTTATATTTTTTTAACTGATTTGCAGGAACCAATAGAAGTTGAGATGGGAAAACAGTGGAGAAGTGATTTTCGACAAGGGAGAAAAATACTTAAACGTGTCACAGTTTTTGGTTATCAAGTTCCATTATTAAAGACTTTGGAGGTAAAATATATTTTATATGAAAGACTAGCAAAAATTGATGTCACTATTCTGGTGCTAAATGCCATTACTTTGGCTTTTCAAGATTCAAATCACTGGATGCATCCATTTGTTGCAAATATTTTTTTCAAACATTTTTTTGATCATATATTTTAGGCACTTCTTCAAAACCCAGATGTTTTAAAGGAAGTTGAAAATCCACATTTTTCATGTGATGGTGTTCTTCGAGATGTAATGGATGGGGATTTTTTCAAGAGTCATCCAGTATTCTCCCTCCACAGTGATGCCCTGCAGCTGTTGGGCTATTATGATGATCTAGAAATAGCCAATCCTTTAGGTTCAAAAGCAAAGATTCATAAAATTGGTGTGTGTCTTTATATTATGTCTATGAATCTATGAACAGCTTATTTCATAAGCATGTTAGCTGCCCAATCACATATAAAATTTGTTTTTAGGTGTCTTTTACTTTGTGCTGGGCAATATAAGGCCAATGTTTAGATCAAGCATCCGCAGTATACAACTTATAGCTATTGCTAAAACAAAAGACATCAAGTCATTTGGGATCGATAATCTTTTGATGCCATTCATTGAGGATGTCAATTGTTTGGCGAAGGTATTTTTACTTTATGCATTACAGTATTGTATGTATATAAGAAAAAAAAAAGACAAAATTCCTCTAGTATGCAAATTTGTCCAACATTATAGCTTCCTATATTTTAGGCTAATGGTCACTGTTTTACCATAAATGGTGTTGCCCGTGTGTTTGAGGTGATCTGTTATTGTGGACTGGAGATACACTTGGTAGCAACTATGTCAGTGGTTTCAAGGAAGGTGTTGGAGGAGCATTGCGAATTTGTAGGCATTGTATGGGAACAAGACTGGAGACCAACAATAAGGTAAATATGCTATAATTTGAAGAAATAGCTTTTTTCCCTGACTGTAATTTGGGAGATATTTTGCTGAGCAATAAGGGCATTTTTACAATTTACACAATGTGCATTTGGATTGCCTTTCTGTTTTAGTTTTTATCTGAAGACTTTTCAGAAAGAGATTTGGATAATCACAGACAAATATGTGCATGTATTGAAGATGAAGATAATGCATTAAACATCCGTGAACAACTTTCCACAACCTATGGGGTAAACAGATTAAGTGTGTTGGATAAGGTGCAACATTTTGATGTTTGCATTTGCATGCCTGAAGATATAATGCATATATTTTGGATGGCTTGGTACCCTATGAAACAAAGTTGATGCTGAAGTATCTGATTGATGAAAGCAGATGTATCACACTCAAAGAGTTAAATCGGAGGATGGAAAACTTTGATTATGGATACATGAACAAAAAGAATAAGCCAACTGCAATTACAGGGAAACAATCAATGGTGTCACTGAAGCTAAGCTTAAACAATCAGGTACATATACTTTTAAAACCCTTTCTTTCACTGCAGTCATTGGGAAAGTATTAACTAATTTATATGTCTTGCTTTATGCAGCCTAATTGTCTTGAACTACCAAATGTAGACTATGTAATGCTATTTTAACCTGAGTCTTTTTGTTGCAGCATCTCAAATGTGGTGTTTATTCAGGTTCTTGCCAATCATGATTGGTGATAAAGTGGATGAGCAACTGGAAAACTGGCATTGTTTGCTGAAACTTTGGAATATTGTTCAAATTTGTACTTCTCCAGGAATAACAAAGGCTGATGCTGCCTATTTGAAAGTTATGATTAATGATCATCACAAAATGTTCAAAAATCTCTACCCTAATGCATCCATAATTCCAAAAATGCATTATCTTATACATATACCTGATGAAATTGTTAGGTAAAAAAATTATTGATGTAAAAGTTACTTCCAAATTATTTTTGAGTGTAGAGAACATCATCCTATTAAATTATTGATGATTATAATTAAATGTTTGCGTTGTAGGTTTGGGCCACCTAGAAATATCTGGACCATGAGATTTGAGGCTAAACACAGTTTCCTGAAAAGTTCAATTACCAAGAACTTTAAAAATGTCCCCAAATCACTTGCATTTTCCCATCAAAGGTATATATTTTTTAAAATCATTGTGCACAATTAGATTGACTTGTATTCCACCCCTCTAAAGTAGCTGTGTTTTATCACTCTAGGCTTAATTTTGAATAAATGTGTAGATTTGTGTATTTCAATTATACATTTTTTACAGAATTGTGTATTTATCATACTAATCATGGTGTAATTGTTTTTTATTTAGGAACATGTGCTGGAACCTTCTGAGTTCTCCCAAGCAGCCCTTGACTAATTACCTGTATAGTGGTGATGTTGTTGGATTAGGTAAATAATGCATATATAGTTATAAAAATTTGTAATTTTACATATGTATAAATATGCATATACAGCTATTATTCCAATTTAAATCTATTTTTTCATGTGTTTCCTAATGTCTGTTTAAGGCGATCACAATGTTGATTTGCACAGCCATCCATATTTTGGCATGATAGCTCAAGCTGCTAGTGTTGATCAACTGGCACAGCCATGTAAAGGAAGCAGGTAATATTTATCAGTTTAATATTGCCAAGTTGTTTTTTAATGTAATTATGAATAAAAAATTATATCATTTATATGACATAATAAAGGACTAACTACTACAATATTCAATCTAGCTACTATTTATCAACTGAACTATCTCTTAATATCACTGTGATTTATCAGGCAAAAACTGAATTTGGGATGAGATGAATCATACTATCTTATGTTTATCAAATGAACTATTGCATTGTAATCTAATTTTTTAGGCATGTTAGGCATGTGGAGATTCATGGCATAATTTACAAGCCAGGATGTGCTCTGCGACTGCAGGAAATGGATGAGATTGGTGAGAGAGATTATCCGGTTTATGGTGAAGTGGAAGAAATCGTTGTTTGGGAAGATAGAAAATTTTTTGTTGTTCGAGTTTTGGAGACATCTGCTTTCCACAGACATTTTATGTGCTACCAAGTTCATAAAACTAATGAAAGGCTTGTTGTACGTAGTAATTCAAAACTTACCCTGGCATGGGGTTTTGCATATTATTAAATCTAATGGAAAATTTTATATAGTTGAAAAAGATAGTTCAAATGTAGAAGACTTTGTGATTAATTGTGAATAAATATTGCCACTGTATGGTAACCAAAAAGGTAAAGCTGTTTCACTCAAGAAGGTGTGTTTCCTAATGGTGTGTGCTATATATAGCCAGATAGGTATGTCTTTGTCAAGGTGTGACAATGAAAGTGAGCATTCTACATGTGTTCTGGAAAAAGTTGTGTTTTTCACGAACGTTTGTTGAACACACTTTTTCTCCAGAAAATGGTGTGTTAACTTGTATGGTGTGTCATTGTCAAGTTGTGTCAATGCAAGGTGTGCTCTCTGCATGGTGTGTTCTGAAAAAGGTGTGTTTGTTGAACACACCTTTTTCTCTAGAAAATGGTGTGCTCACTTCTATGGTGTGTCACTGTCAAGGTGTGTCAAAGCAAGGTGTGCTCTCTGCATGGTGTGTTCTAAAGGTGTGTTTGCTGAACACACCTTTTCTTCCAGAAAAAGGTGTGTTAACATAAGGTGTGTCAGTTGACACGGGCGGGTGTGTTTCTGTACACACCAAGATGTGTTCTGTGACCCAGTAAGGTGTGTTTATCAACCCACCTATGACTCTTTTTTCAAAAAAGTGTGTTTCACAACACACCTTTATGTGTTTGAAAACACACCTTGGTGTGTTTGAAAACACATCTTTTTTTAGAGTGCAAAGGTTTTCCGTGACTGGCAAGATCCAATTTTAATGCTGACAACTGCAGAAAATCATCTCCTGCCTGTCACACAATTCTTGACTAGATGTTGCTAATATTTCTACCTCGGGTAGTTTATCTGCGACAAACATTAACCCATACTTTCATAAACGATCTCTGCAGAAACTCAAATTTCTGTCTATAAACACCGAATACAAAAATTTCGGACATTACGCTCTCAAAACAGATAAATATCAAACGATTATCAGTAATTCTTCCGTATCCACACTCTCGCCTGTAGGCTGTGTTACACTCACACTCATTGAGTGTGACATACAAATTTTGTCATCACCGATAAAGAGAAAGTTATTTCTTAATCGATACAAAGATTTAACGAAAAACACTGAAAATTAAGCTCTTATTCGAGTGGAAATACCGCCATGGAAATGTTATGACTCCCACTCAACAAGTTCGAGTGCGCTTTTAAAATACAATAGTTCCTCGCTAACTCGAACTCCCTAAGGGAAAGGAAAATTGTTCGAGTTACCGGGGGTTCGAGTTTACCGGAGTTAGTGTAATATTACATTTATTATATATAATTAATACAATAAGTTATAAAATCCAATCGAATCATTCTTCAAGAGATATCATGCCTACCAATATGAATGGTGACCGAAACTGGACGAAATTTTAAAATAAAAAGATCGAGTGTGTGTTAATAAAACTCAATGTGTTAACATATTCAATTTACGCTTTGGCTTTGGTTAGTATATTCAATTTACGCTTGCATTTAAAAACAATTTATATTCACAGAACGCCGAAAAAAGGAGAGTTAATAAGATCATAATTATTTGTCCGGGCTAGCATGCAAATTAGCAAACATATTTTAATGCAAGCGGATATTAGAAGCCAATTTGACAAAAATACTAGCTAATCACAATTTTTTCCATTTATGAATGCGTGATGGTAATCCAGATTTCAATTTTTTAAACGGTGTTTAAGAAAACCGGAGATTATTTTAATGTCTGTAATGTTTAACACAAGTGAAAACCCGTTGTTCGAGACTGAATGAAATTTACCTTGTGCGATAGTTTTTATACATGGGTGCCGTAAAAATGTGTCTCGTTCTTTTGTTGCTAAACAAAGTGGCTCAGATGGCAGATCATTAGATTAAGTTAAAGTGAGCAAATTATCAGTACAATTTATCTACGATGATATTTGCATACATTCAACAACCAAAACATCTAAAGTAGCAAGAAGCTCTTTATAGAATGATGTAGTCAATTTATTAGCACGGGACAGCTAAAATTGGTGCCTGCGTCCAATTTGATGCACAGCAATTTAAAGCACAGCGCATCCATTTTGACCGTGCCAATAGTTTGCAGCTAAAATTTACTGGTTCACTTACTGATCAAAACCAATCTCGTGATATATTCTTTCGGCATTGCGTTAGTTGATATGAAAATACTTTTTGTCAAGCCAATCAACCACATAATATTCTTTTGAGAGAGCTGTCCTCGCAGCCAGTTCCCAACGACGTGAAATTCTATGACGCCACGCTTCTCTTCACGACGAGCTGCCTCGTCTCGTCCAATGTGTCACCCAGGGTAAAAACCGTGCTGTAAGTACATAGTTTAAACGAAATTGACTTTTTGTTTTGAAATTGACATCTCCGAGACCTTTGTGTAGACCGTAAATATACAGTTGGTATTCAGCCAATAATGAAAACTGCTTAAAGTTTGTCAAATATTTTCACTAAATTCTTGGCAAGCTTCCTTCAGTAAATTAACCTGCACACGCTGGTTTTACTTCTATTTTCAATTTACAACAATTTCATGAAACAACTCTCGTACAACAATCTAAACGATCTCAAAACGCTCTAAGACAGTCTGGATTTATAATAATATACAGCTCCACACATTTACTTATAGTCCCGGCCCGGTTGTATCAAGGCCATTTATAGCTTAAACGGCGGATAAGTCAAAATTAAATAATACTCTTACATCTCTCTTGAATAGGTCAACTATCCCGTCCAAAAGGAAAATCGGAATTGAAAAGGCAAGTAAATCTTTGGAACTGTTGTAGAATATGATAAACTGACAAATTTGCAAATATAGTAAATTTAAATCCAGTGGCAATATGGCGTTTACGGCCATGATATCCTAGTTCCATAAATCTTATTAAAATGGAGCTTTCTTTCAACGTAGATGTAAAGGGGATTGAAGATTTATAAATGGCTATTCACAGCCAAACTTCGTTCTACATAAAACACGTGATGTTCAGCTGTTGTTTGCTTATACACTTGATCGTATTTCTTCGCTTCACTATCCCGTCCAACAGGAAAATCAGAATTTAAAAGGCAAGTAAATCTTTGAAATTGTTGTAGAATAATATAAACTGACAAATTCGCAAATATAGTAAATCTAAATCCAGTGGCAATATGGCGTTTTACTGCCATGATATCCTAGTTCGATAAATCTATTAAAATGGAGCTTTCTTTCAACCTAGGTGTAAACGGGATTGAAGATTTATAAATGGCTATTCAAGCCAAACTTCGTTCTACATAAAACACATGATTTCAGCTGTTGTTTGCTCTATACACTTCGAATATTCTCATTAAATGTATGACAGTATGATCGTATTTCTTCGCTTTACTATCGCGTCAAACGAAAATCCGAATTAAAAGCAAGTAAATCTTTGGAACTGTTGTAGAATATTAAACTGACAAATTCGCAAATATAGTAAATTTAAACCCAGTGGCAATATGGCGTTTTACGGCCATGATATCCTAATCCGATAAATCATATTAAAATGGAGCTTTCTTTCAACCTAGGTGTAAAGAGATTGAAGATTTATAACTGGCTATTCACAGCCAAACTTCGTTCTACATAAAACACGTGATGTTCAGCTGTTGTTTGCTGTATACACTTCGAATATTCTCATCAAATGTTCTTCGCTTCACTATCCCGTCCAACAGGAAAATCAGAATTTAAAAGGCAAGTAAATCTTTGAAATTGTTGTTGAATATTATAAACAAATGACAAATTCGCACATATCCTAGTTCGATAAATCTCATTAAAATGGAGCTTTCTTACCAGAGTAATATGTGTATATGAAAGAAAACAACCTGTATTTTTTTCTGTATATTTTTGTGTTATAGATATCACAAAATACATACTGTACTATACAGTATAGACCCTCTGTGATTTATATACAATCATATTTTCAATTGTGTGAAAATGATGTTCTTGTAATCTCCATCGTAGAGCAAAAGCCGCGCGAATCATTTGTTTTATGTTTATCAACTCGAACTGGAACACGCGACTGGAACAAGATGGCTTCCAGCAATGGGAAATAATTTATGTTAAAAATGTAGTGTAAATGTATTTGTGTTCTCTTCATATCATGAAAGGGTAAGTAATTTTTGAAATTGTATGCATAAATTGTTTGTCTTAAGCCTTAATTCCACGGGCTAAATTTTCAAGCAAAATGCGAAATATTTCTCCTGCTTCTTTTGAATTGTGAGCAATGATGCATAATTAATTGATTCAAGCGGTCGAAATTCAAAAGAAACAGGCAAAATATTTCGCATTTCGCCGAGAACAGGCGCCCGTGAAGTTAGGCCCTTAGAGTTAGGCCCTTAGAGTTAATATGTGGTTATCAACATGTTTCATTGTGAATTTTAAAATTTAGAGAATGGCATCGACGATATGCTATAGAAATGTCCATTGCAATAATCTGTTTAGTAAAACTCTTGAAGGCTGCTGAACGGCGTTTGCATCAGCGCAAATAAAAAAATAAAACAATGCTGGCAGCAGATCATGACGTTTGTTTGCCCCAGCAACCCTTTTGGACTATAATATGGTTGACATCTAATATAGGATTTCTTCATTTGTCACCTACATTCATTGAAATCTACAAAAGCTTTATAAAAACTAATAGCACTATTATAGAGCACCTGTATTATATATATTGTTGGAAGAAACCATGTAATTTTGCACTATATCAGTGATGACATAAGCCTTATATGGGGGGCACCTGTTCCTCAACACACACAGTGCCCCCCTGGCAAAAATCCTGTTTACAGCCTTGGGGCCAGTTGTTCAAAAGGTGCATGGATAAAGTTATCCACTGGATAGTGACCTAATTTTTCAACTGTCGTAAAAAGCTTTGAAAAACAAGAAAGCTACTTATGACCCTTAAAAAGTATTTTAACTTCACAACTGTGAAGTTAAATCTTGGCTACGCCAAGTGGTGAACATATGCCATATATAATTGCCTGGATTTTGCCCATAATTGCACACTGAAACCTCCCACCAGATTGTTCAAAAACCTTATCTGCTAAACAGTATCATTACCTGCTCAACCAATATCAGCTATTCAACCATCAGTACCAATCTGGATCAGTATTTATATATGCTGAAATAGTTGCAATTATAGCATAGTAAATTCATATACCTGCGTAATATGTTTGTTTCTGTAGGCGAGACCTAAGATCTCTTGCTTCTTTAGCAATGTTGCACCATTTCGCAGAATGTTTCTCGGTGAGCAGTTTTCGTTTGTTACACTCTCTGCGACCTTTGGAGGTAAAGCTTCAGATGCGGTCGAGCGCTTAATTATGGCGCGCTGTTGACGCATTCTTTCTTCGATGACGCATTCGTTCATTTTGGCCTCAAAGTTGGCTTTTTTTCGTGGCTTTTTCACCGGAAGTGACGTACATTGGAGAACAGAGGGACCTGTACATGAAGAAAGAAGGCTGCTTTTATTTTGCAAAACATCCGGACTATCCCAGTGTCAGATTGGAAAGTGAAATAGATAAAGGCACTATATTATTGATCGCGTCGCGTAGCGACAGCGATCTATAGTTTCGGCTTGGTTTTTTTTTTATTTTCCTCTCGGGTCGACCCCCAGCGTCGCTAGCTGCGGGCCATATCACCCTAATCGGGAACCTGCGCACAGGTAAGTTGCTAGTTATATCACGTGTTGTATTCACTTTGGGCATATTTCGTTTCACCTTCGAACTTCGAAGCAGTAAAGTAGAATCAATAAAGCGATCAAAATGCTAGCAAGTGTTATCTTTACACTCATTACACATACAACTAACTGCACACGCCGAGCAGAGTAAGCCTGCACTAAAGGATTTCAAGCAGTTTCGAAATGGGCTGTTTTGTGTTTCTCCTGCTTTCAACATGCGACTATAGTTCGGTATATTGTTCATTTTTATTATTAAGAACATTTACGACACAAAATTTGCATAGCTGGGCTGGCTACGCCGCTGTGAACGACGCGATCATATAACGCCTAGTAGGCGTCTTGTTACATATAAAGCACGTGTTTTTTTGCCTGTTGATTTCCAAAAGCTGTTTGAAAATACTGACATTTCACCCTATTGTTTCTTCAATTGACGATATTGACGATACGAATTTCTATGTTGATTTGTACTATATTACACTGGTGAAATTTGACTCATGAAATCGCAGGATCGAACTATCTAAATTTTCCCGCAAAATCCGAAAGCAACCATCCTCGTAGTACAATTTTCTTTAAGAATTAACTTCAAGATATTAAAATTTTATAATAAAAGATAATATGAAACCAGACATTTTTCTCCGATTTTATTTTTCTGTAACTTACCCATTGCAATACCCAGGCTTGTCAAGTAGTTCACGTTGTTCCTGTGGAAAAGGGGACGCCCTTAGAATTGCCAATGATAGTGTAGTGGTATTATAGCATGTACACCGCTTAAAAATAGTAGTAATCCAGAAAAGAAGAGGGGTTAGAGACTCTCCTTTCAAAATATATTACAAAATTTCTACTTGTTTTCGTACGAAGAATTTAAAACTGCGGAGTCGGGTACTGTTTTGAGGATTCAAACAAACATCTGATGTTTCTTGATGACATGTGATTTTGAAGTTCCACTGGTATATCGCTGTAGGATGAAATAAGTTCCGATTAAATTTCCTGCAGTTACACGTAATTGTAAAGATATGAATCCGATCAGCATAAGTATATCGCTCATGCATATATGTTGAGTTGAGCCTAAATTTAGTGTGTATATTTAATATAGTGAATACCAAACAATATCTGACGATACTGTATACGCCAATGGCAATGGCCGAATAGCCCAATATAAACATCTCTTAGTGGTAGTACCTTGTTGCAGCAAATATATTAATGACACGTCTTTGCATGATAACACCTTTGTATGGCACAAATGCCTCTGAAAATAGTCAAGAGAACTTTATGAACTGTGGGGATTACTACCTTATTTTAAGGGCAAAATATCGCGAGGGAGGTTATACAACCTGTGCACCTATACAGTAGATAGTAAATTATTCAGTGTATCGACCGTGTAAGAAAATGGGTACATGGTATGTAGAATTTGAGCTACAAGCCTATTTACCAACGGTCAATGAAGTCATTTACACTTGCCTTGGCCGTGTGTGTTTCTTGTTCAAGAACCTGGGGGTGAATGCACAGCTGGTCACCTGATCCTGGCACACATTTTCGGTCTCAAACAAAAATCAATAGAAAATGTCAATTTCAACAGTTAAATCTTCGTTTCCCGGTTTTCTGACCTAAACGTGAGAAACACAGGAGTTTCTTGTAAAACATCCGAGGCTCGTATCAATTTTTTTGACGGTCTGTTATCAGGATGTGTTTGACTTGTATGTTTCGATCATAGTTTCATGTCCATAACTTGTTTCATGTCCAGGATGCACGAAATTATTCCTAACTTTTAATTCTAAACCTCACCCTAACCCTGACCTAATTGCTTATACTAAAAGATTTGAATCAAGGATTATATTCGCGGACACTGGACATGAAATTATTACCTATTTCCACCAAATCTGACAGGTTTTCAGCAGATTCGCCAACAAGCTTATTACTATACAAGGTTTTAAACTTGACAAGCCGTCTTAAATGTATGTGTTTAAAGACTTTGGTATTAATACGTCGAAAAAATACAGTAGACACCATACCTTTCTTTGGCAAACGACAAGAAACAGCACGCTTGTTCTCTGCATGGGTTGCGAACGTTTTCATAAAATCCTTCCATTGCCTAAAACAGACCATAAATCCTTTGACAAACCTCAATCAGCTTGTTCATTGCGAGTTATTTAGTTGAACATAACCTCCTGATCAAAATGATCCGTTTTTCGTCCTCGTAAAAACGTACAGATGAACTGTTTAACTATATATTCATTTGTTAAAAAGTGTAGTCTTAAGATTTTGCTGGATGGCAATAGAACTAACCTCTGTAAATTCGTTTTTTCGTCGTGGCTTAACAAAAATAGTTTTTTGTGTCTCAAGTCGGTTCCATAGACCAAAACTCTTACAAAACAAAAGATAATCATTGTGAATTAACGTAACGGACTAGGATATGAAATATCGTTCCTATATCAGTTTTAACCACACACAAAACCCTAACCGATTTAGAATTTCGACCTAAGGAAGCACCATCAAAAGGTCCAGTAAGATTAATCCCAGTGAGCACACGACGTCGTTTCGACGTTGATTTATGGTTGAATTTTGGTCGCGACGTCGATCAACCCAATATCGACTTCGTTTCGACGTCGATTTCACGACGTCATATGTCGACTGACGTTGTTTTCAACGTTGTTTTGACGTCAGGAAACAGGTTTGCTGCGTTTGCCGCATTTAAATTGTATATGGATTGACAACAATATTCGGAAAGTGTTGTGAACATCATATATGCAGTGTAATGATGTGTTTTTGTCAAGTCGTTAAAGCGTCGATATATCAACCTGTTCTCGACGTCGTTTTCGCGACGTTTATTCAACGTTGTTTCGACGTTATATAAAACTTTACAGGACCAACTTGCAAAGACTCGCAATGGTAATAATATCATTCCTGATAGATAGTTAGGACGAATGTTGCGATTTTTAAGAAGTGTTGAAAATTAATTTCTATGTAACAGACTATTTAAACCATTATTAAATACCTCGGGCCTCCCCGGAGCAACATCGGTCATGCATCGTTGGTAGAGTGCGCGCAGTGCATTTCGGGAAGGTCAAATTGAGCGCGTCCATTTGAAAATTGAAACATGTTGTCGCGAACGGAATATGAAACATTGTAGCTGTATATTCGGGATATTTTCACAGGATTTCTAAGTTTAATGGTTGGATATCTTTCGCATAAATCCAAGAAAGCAGTAAAGGTTAGTGAGAGTCAGTTTTACAGTGTGTATTGCCATGATAAAGGCCATGAATCGCGAGATATGAATACGCGATCGTGACATCGTGATTATATTTTGAAATTTAAACGTTTAAAACATTGCCCAAACTTTTTGATTCTCTTTTATAAATGGTTCAGCTAAACGAATAACGATACTTGCTCATTATTTTGTTAATTTATGTTTCAACGTTGTGTGATCGTGGGTTATTCATTCTAATGTGACTTTGTATATACAGTAAGATCGCCATATTTGACGCCAGAACTAATTGCATTTATAATCCTATTCAATCCGCTACTTAGTTTTGATAATTTAGACCATTTTATGGTTCCGTATATGTTAGTCGTGTGTTCTTTATGTGTTGAACGGGATTCGATTTAGCTATTTGCTTTGATTTTTGAAAATTGCGTACTATTATAGGCCCTTTGCTAGATGAATAAACTGATTTTTATTATGCTGCTCCCTTGCCAGTTGCCTTTCTCAACTGAAGCACGAAGTGTCAACGTGCTACATCATTAAGCTTGCTAAAAACTAGCGAACGGCCTAGCACAGACCTATAACAAATATATGGGGTAAGCGTACACATAGGGACCACATATGTAGTAAACAATATCATCTCAACTTTTAAGGTTGGCCAAATCGCAAGTCGCAAATTGTCATCACAAGTAAATGCCCCTCCTGTTGCTGCGTGTATAATGATGATGAAAGATTGTTCAGAATGAAGGGAAAGATAACATACTTGAACATAATGTCCAATTCCATAATGGTCTATAGTGTCCAAAAACTTTTTATTTTACAATACTGAGACTCTTCTCGCACTATTTTGAGGCGAGATTTTAAGAAAGAGATGAAGGAAACCCTGAGACAATTTTTCGAATCTGATTTCGTAATTTCAAATCAAGTATATTGTAGATTTAAACAAGGTGATGTAAATTGAATAAAATTTGTTTGAACTATAGAGTCAGTGCAATTATGTTTTTTATATGCATTTCAAAATCCAGCTAAAATCCTTTGCACGGACGTTGTTTTAAAGGCAATAATCTAACGTCGATTCGATTTGCGTTTTCAAATCATTTCGATTGGTTTTGACGTTGAAATTTCATAAATTCCAGACGTCGATTCGACGTCGATAACCCGACGTTGTTTCGACGTCGAATAATCGACGTCGATTCGATTTGCGTTTTCGAACCTTTTTCGACGTCGTTTCGACGTCGCTGGGTGACGTCGATTCAACGTTGAATCGACGTCGTTGTGCTCACTGGGATCTGTATAAAAATCACATTAGCTGTATTTATACAAGAGACGAACAATTCATCTGGACGAACCTGGGCAAATTTTATATTAAAAGGTAACATGAAACTAGACATTTTCCTACGATTTAATTTTTTTAACTTACCTATTGCAATCCCTTTTTTTGTCAAGTAGTTCACGTTGTTCCTGTGGAAAAGGGGACGCCCTTAGAATTGCCACTGATAGTGTAGTGGTATTATTGCATGTACACCGCTTAAAAGTAGTAGTAATCCAGAAACGATGAGGGGTTAGAGATTCTCCTTTCAAAATATATATTAAAAAAATTTCTACCTGTTTTTGTACGAAGAGTTTAGAACTTTTGAGGATTCCAACAAACATCTGATGTTTCTTGATGACATGTAGGTTTTGAAGTTCCACTGGTATATCGCTGTAGCATGAAAAGTTCTGATCAGATTTCCTGGAGCCACACGTAATTGTAAAGATATGAATCCGATCAGCATAACTATAGGGAATAGCCCAACTAGCAGAGAATAGCCTAAAATACGAGTTTCCGAATTAGAATATGAAATCGGTTTGTAATTCCTCAGATTTGTTGTAGAATTATACAGTAGAACTTCTTAAGAGCGTCAAAAAGTAATGAAGAGCCGTTATAGGTTTCCTAAATCAATCACCGTTATTAAAAAATGACTATACAAAAGATCATCTTGTAGCTTAATGCTATGGTGGACGTAATTGATCACCTTTGACGCCACCAGCTGCTTTGCTGGTTGACCAAACATCCAGTTGCTTCCTCTTCCAACCGTCATTCGCTGGCTGTTGAACATGAACCTAAAAAACAAGAAACTTAATTTAGCTACAGCAATACATGAATTGTCTCATTTTTCATTAACTACCTGCCATGCAGAATTTACTTTTAATACACACAGGTTGAGATGATTGCACCGTAAATGTGCCAGCTTGTTGCACATCTTTCTTTTCGCTCGACCCTAATGCATCGCCGTTCTGAAAAACTACCTGGGATGCTATAATGTGGAAAGATTGGACTAGATTTTATCCGTGAAAATGATTGTTTACGAAAATGATTGTTTACAACAATTACGACACAAAGGAAACCAGGTTAACGACTGCTTGAAAACATGTAGATAAGGGGAGTTACAAGAAAGCTATTACAGCAATAAACGTCAAAAAATATCAACATACGAGCCCTTTCCCCAAATTTCTACCACTAAGTCTTCTATCATGTCAAAGACTACTGTAACATACTTTCAAGGCGTCCGCGAACTGTCTTTGTATTGCACCACCAATTTGATCTACATTGAAGAAGATTTGCTTAAATAATGTATGCATTTCATTTCCCAGTTTTAACAATATTTTGCTGCAATACTGGCATATTGAATCATGCAGAGCTTGCTCCAACTCAATAATCGCCTAAAATCCTTTGCACATCCAAATTTAACAAATGAAATGTTGAAACAAGCTCGGAAACCACTTCATAAACTCACTTGCAACGGACAATGAAATCACTTTCTCGAGTGATTTCGTACTTTGACCAGAAGTTCGAAAATGTAACTGGGTGACAAAAAGACAAAAGACTGCAAAAGTTAAGGCATTTCTAACGAGGCTGCAGTCATATAATGCTTGTTTCAACAATGTTTTCAAATAAATTGTATACTGCACCTGCCGGGATGTGTAATTATTTGGACGATGAAGATGTTACAGTATGCAATTCTTCCTCTAGCTTCAAGACCAAGTCTGGAAAATAAACAAAATTGACCCAATTATAATACGAAATCAGGCTAGCAAATCACGTCAAAAAGAGGAGGCTGGGTATTATAAATGAACTAGCCGTAATCTGATTGGCTTGATAACCGATGCAAATCACTAGCTGTCCGCTGAACTGCGTACAGCTGAGAAGAGGTATACAAAAATATTCCTAGTCACCATTTTAGTATTCCTCAATTTCTATTCGTGGCTTCACCTACTACACGTTCCAGGTATATTTTTATTGATTATATTTACAAGAGGCCCATTTTGATGTGCGGTTTCAATCCTGATATCATGACTGGCAACCGAAAGCTATACATATACCTTTTATGTATGCGATTTCCTATTTATCCAAATCTCCATCATCTGGTAAACAGAAATACGAGATTTTTAACACAGCTGATTGTACAAAAAGGCGATCAACTATGGTTAGCGGCAGAATTGCTCAATCAGAATCCTCTCTTTAGGGGGTACATTGATATTTCGCAAAAGATTTCTTAATTTACGAAACTTTAAGAAACATACCAGGAAGAAATTCTAACAGTGGTATGACAACTTGAGGCGTTGGCGAAAGTTTAGTAAACTTTTCCAGATATGTTGGGAGCAGTCTAAGGAACGAAAATTTAGAAATTATTGCTAAAAAAATTTTGTATTTGTGAAGGAGTATCTCGCATAACAAGAGACGTTACATTTAGGCTGGAGTTTGTTGAAATACATTTCTGTAAATTCACTGAGTGCATTATCAAGGCACGATTTCAAATATCTCCAAAGCAATATACTTATAAAACGCTGCAATTACTTAAATCAACTTCATTCTTTACAAAGTGCTAATGGACATAAAAAAGTCTCAAATTCCAGACTATCTTAAGTAGCCTTACCTTGCCATAACTGGCAAGGCATTTCTAACATACATATGGTGAGACAGGATACGCATAACGTCGCGGAATGAGCAACCAAACCAATCTCCAAAGTACGCATCAGACAAAACTAGACGAAATATACAACAACGTTTAAACGAGAACAGACAACCGCTGAAAATAAAGTCAAGCAGGTTCTTACCTGTTCATCTTGACCAATAAAAATGTTGTACGTACACAGCTCTGTTAATACCTTCACATGTTACAATAAAATATCCAATTAAATTATTAGTATGGTATGATATAATTATGGTATAAATTCGTTATGGTATGGTATGGTGTGATATAATTATGGTATGATATGGTTATCGTATGGTATGATTTGGTCATGGTATGGTATGGTGTGATATAATTTTGGAATTATATGGTTATCGTATGGTATGATTTGGTTATGGTTAGTTATGGTATGATATGATTATATGATATGATTATATGATATGTTGTGGTATGGTTATGGTATGGTATGGTTTTGGCATAGTTATGGTAAGATATTATGATAGATGCAAAAAACTGAATGATAAGAACCGTACTGGAAAAATTCTAGCGAACAAATGAGGTCGGCGCATATCATGAGGAACACGAAATAATCCAGGAGAAAAATCATAATTTGAAACCTGAATGCAAAGTAAAATTTTTAGTTCATGATTTTGGTGTGAAAAGTGCACAACTTTACTTCCCTTGCCATTTTAGATAACACTGTACATATTAAACGTAAGTAGTGCTTTCAAGAATGTATCAAGTTTTTATCTTGCAGTGCCTCTGGAAAGTTTCTCAGAACAACAAACAACACCTCCCATTCCAATTTCTAGAAAATGAAGAAAGTTGAACTTCAATCGAAACTTAATGCCAGATGATATATTATGATGGAAAAGTTTACCTGTTGTAAGCACACAAGAATAACATTCATTGCCTCGTTGTAAGGCAGTGAGACAATCCCGGTTGTCTTATCTTCTGCAGAACTAAAACAAAAGTGAGGATGTATTGAATTTGAATTTTTTTGAATTTAATCACTTTTTTACCAAAAAGTAGAGGTAACAGGGGCTGAACAGAGCATGGCCCCAATTGACATCAGCTACCGGTAAAGCAACCAGAGAGGTGCTGAAATCACCTAACGCTCGCCTGCACTGTTTGTCTAGAATAAGGCTAAACTCTGTATGAAAGGTATCTGTATGAAGCACAAATTACCGATCTTTTTATTACAAATTACAACTTTAACGTTGGACTATGTTTTATATACCTAATCATTTATAAACACAATCTCAAAGTTTATAATTGTACATGTACAATACAAACAAATGGTAGCATACAGGTGAAAATATTTGAAAGTTTCTCATTTGGCTTAGGGTTGTACAAATACTTTCGTTAAATATAATTAAGCTACAACTTTGAACTAAAAAAAAACAGGGCTACACAATAGCCCTGAAAATCGTAATGAGCGTGATAACTCTGGATAACTCTAACATTGACCTTATCATGATGCTAATTAGCTTAACATTTGCCTTATCATTTGATAATTTTGAGCAAAGCTCTCATTATTATTGTATAAATGAATAGTCACAATGCATATCGATGACTTATATATATGATGATTCCTCTTATGTAAAGCCATAATATTTAAAAAATATAGCATCTTAACATTGACCTTATCATTATGCTAATTAGCTTAACATTCACCTTATCATTTGAAAATTTTGAAAAAAATTCCCATTATTTTTGTGTAAATGTGTACTAAATGTCACCATATAGTCACAAGACATATCGATGAGCTATATTTATGATGAATCTTCTGATGTAAAGCCGTAATATTTAAAAAATATAACATCTTAACATTGACCTTATCATTATGCTAATTAGCTTAACATTCACCTTATCATTTGATAATTTTGAGCAAAACTCTCTTTATTATTGTATAAATGTGTACCAAATGGCACTAAATAGTCACAATGCATATTGATGACTTATATTGATAATGATTCCTCTGATGTAAAGCCAAAGTATACAAAAAATATAGCATTTTAACATTGACCTTATCATTATATTTTGTTGTATAATGTTCACTCCCCCTGGTAAATGGTTCTTTCGCTACAAATAGACTCCTTAAGTAGATAATTTGAAAATAATGGGAATATAAAAGTGGCATCTTAACATTCTACTTATCATGTAGTGTGGACGCGGACGGGGACGGGGACGACAAGACTATAGCAATAGCTTTCTTGCACTAAAGTGCAGGCGAGCTAAAAAGGAATTTTGGAAGCAGAATACCTGACATGCGTTGCACTATCATCATTAACCAACCTTTTCCTTTCAGAACAAATAACATACGAAGTGAATTTAACTTTTCCAATTTTGTCTTGCACAAGGGCTAGTTCTCAGCTCGCAAACTGAGGAAACATTGAAGAATCTTTAAAAAACCACAATGTAAGACTTCATAGAAAAATCGCGAGAAATAACATTGAATTTGGCTTACCACAAGTCGTATCTCCGATGCAATAGACGTCCGATAGCGATTGTCATAATGAGTTTTTATTTGGTACACTAACATATTGAATATTCGTTCTGCAATTACATAATAGGAAAGAGAGAATAAAAAAATTATATTTTATATAACACTAGTGTAAAATGAATGATAAATGGAACTGTACAGCAAAATAGGCTATTACTCCCGACAATAATGTTGCACAGAAGCAAACATTAAATATCTCAGAAATATTTGGGCTAAAGACCCCGGAATACCACTAAACGATAGCAGTTGAAACGATTGTTTGAAAGTATATTCCAACCAGCATATAGTTATAACCTGCATTGTATTATAAGTAAAAACAATAATCAAAATAATAGGTTGCTTTGTTATCTCAAATTACTCACCCATAGCAAGATATATTTTAGAAATTCCATATCTTTTTGCTTTTTTGGTACTCTGTTGTCTTCGAATCGTCCCAATTTTACATGTTATCAATCTGTTGTAATTCTGAGTAATTCTTGGGCTAGGATGTGCAAAAGAATCGAAGAAATAGCATTTCATAAGTGCTAAGCGATAATCGTTGGTAAGCACGTGCTTAAGACAAGCTCGAATCGGAACTAGGTCAGAATTTCAGCTTTTTGCCCGAATTTGTTTTCCATATTTTTATTATTGTGAAATATTATTGCCGGTGATGCGATAATTCATATCATCAGGTATGTTTATATAAAAAATCGGCAAAAATCTTCTAAAGGTTCGATTTTGACGCTAAATATATCAAAATAGTACTGAATATTTGAACTAAACCACTGCAACCGGTTTTCGTTTGCATTTTGGGCAATATCCTAAGGATTAGGCCGCTTTGATGTGTAATATTGAATATATAAAACGCGTGAATATCATACCTGTGAATAGCTATGTATGCATGGCGGTAAAACGCCATATTTCCACTGGATTTTGCAATATTTAGCCTTGAAATTTACCACATTTGCGATTTTGTCAGTTTGTTATATTTAATATTATTCAATGCCATGCCCAATTCGACAATATTCTGAAAGGTTCAGTAGTTAAATGTACCACATAATTCAAATGCTACAACAGTTTGAAAGATTTACTTGCCTTTTAAATTCCGACTTTCCTGCTCGATGGGGTTCTAAAGCTGGTAGGGAAATAAAGCCTTTTAATAATGATTGAACTGTAATTTTTTGTGAACTTCATGAGAGAAATAATCGAACAAATACACACATACTATGATACATTGGCTTGGAATATGCTCCAAAACGTGTGAAATCGAACATTTGTTGTGCAATCACCTTGCAAATATCACAGAAACGGGATCAAAATTTGAATATAGATTAACCAATCTGATTGGTTTTTATTGAACCAATCATGGAGTACAAAAATTGACCAATGACAAATTGACCTGTGCACAGAAATAACCAATCAAGTTGTCTTAATTTTGCTCAATTATGCAAGAGCCTACAGGCTATAAAACAGAGCCATCTGCGACCGTTTTCTTCAGGTAAGTGAGTTCTTTCTTTAGGTAGGATCAAGGTATGTGTAATTATTTTTTTAATAGAAGTAGATCCCCGTGGCCACTCTGTTAGCTAAGAATCTCTGTCCCCGTATCTGGAAACACGGCTCACTGCTTGTCTAACTGTGTTTTGCTCTTCGTTTTCTAGGGAGCTACTAATAATTTTTTTTGTGTTTTTCAGACAAAGACGATCGTAGTTTAGTTTCAGTATCCAACCCTAAGAAGCCACCCCATATCCATGCCGTCAGTTAAATCCCCAGCCACAATTGCCTTCATGCTAATTTGAATGCTTGCTTTTCTAGGAACAACTCACCATATTTTTTGTCGTTTCAGCTACAGAGTTAGTGGGTTGTGGGTTGTTGGATGTTGTGTCGTCGGTTGTGTGTTTTGTGTTGTGCGTTCGTATTGTCTGCCAGTCGGTTTGCGAGTTGCCTTGTAGCTCTCGCTTTTTCCTGGCCACACAAAGAACACATTTCGGATACTCCTTTTTAGGAGATTGGGTTCGACTCCCATGAATGTGTCAATTTTGCGCTGATATCTAATGAGGTCCGTCTTTAATACAAAAGCACAACATCCAACGGACAATCTGCATCCTTTCACCACACCAACTACAAGTGTTGTCCTCATACAACAGAATGAAACTTTCAACAGAGTAAGGAGTAACCAATACCCAAGATGAAGTTCTCGTAACTTCTCAAACAGGACAGGATGCGGCATTTGTTAATGAAGTATTCTCGATGTTTAAGGGATCCTCTCAGTTAGACGTCCGATCAGAGGATATTTCAAAGTGGTAAGCTGATTTAAACTTGTGATTACTGTGCGAATACTTCACCCATTTTAATAAATATGAGACCACTAAACTCATTGCTGTCTGCTCGTAAACGGCGCACACAGATAATTTCGATTTTATCTGGAAGTATTTTATCAAATCAACTAGAAATTGTGTTATCTCAAAGAAAAAACATTTACCTATTTGTATAAATTTAGTTCATTTCAAAAGCTTTCGTATCAGCCAAGATATTTATTGCCGAACTTGTACTTTTTAAATTGAATTTTAGAGAAGCGAAAATACGCAAAGCCTTCCAAAAATCTCGCCTAAAAACCTCCAAATATTTCTAGTATACATTTGGATCAATATTTTCATCTATTTTACTTGAAATACAGTCGCTTTGGCGATTTGTAGTGATATTTCCAACAAACGTGTTTACAAATGGACCGGAAAATGTGCATTTAATTATCACCATATTGTCGAAAATTTGACTTCTAGGGACAATTTTACCCCGGAAATCGATTACCGGGCTTATTTTACCCCCACAGGGTAGGCAACGTTACCTTTTTGATACCTCTAACCTCAGGTGACAACCACATGTGCGTGCGGCTGAGCAACGCCTCGCTATACACAATAACAAATAAAAAAAGCTATATTTTTCGAGTTTTTCTGCCCATCCTGACTTAAAAACTATCAGAAAAGATCACTAAAGCCTTTACAGTTTACATGTAACGGTTAAAAGACGACAGGATAAAAATAACGAAGAAAATAACGAAATTCCAAAGGCGAATTATATTTCCGTTTGTAATTCCGTGTAATTTGATATGATTTTTAGAGCTGCACTGCAGTGTCAGGTTAACAGCAATATTGATTAATTTCTGGATTAAAACAGAAGCGATTGGGTTAAAGTATTTTTCTTTAGCTATATTTTGGTGGTATTTTTGTGCTTTTTAAATTAAACGGATTAATTTAAACATTAAAAAACCATGATAATTTCATGATATCTGGTGATGGGAGGCATGACAAGAATTATGCCTACACAACATTTTGCTGTACAGTTCGATATGTCATTCATTTTACACTGGTGTTATTAAAAATAGATTTATTTTCTCTCTTTCCTATTATGTAATTGCCAATTACCAATATCCAGGGGTTGGGGGTATATGTGAATATGAAAGAAAACAGCCTGCATTTTGTTCTGTATATTCTTTTTGTTATAGAAGTCACAAAATACATGCTGTTACTATACAGTATAGGGCCTTGTGATTCACATACAATTATAGTTTCAATTGTGTTAAGTGATGTTATTGTAATCTCATTGTAGATTCTATTGCATATAGAGCCGAATTGGTATGGCAACATATCTTTGAGAATTGAAGTTTATGGCGGTTCTTCAGGTATGTTCTAGCAATTCACTGAAGTACTATTTGTTCGCTAAGGAATGTTGTCCCATGGTAGCGGTACGCACAAACCTGGGATATCACAATGCTGATAGCCTCACAACTATGGACAATAATATATTAATTTACTTGTTCCTTGTTTCTCAATTTTAGATCAAATAAATTATGGCAACCCAGGAGTCGCTAACAATTATTACCTTTCTCTTATCACTGACTACACCTCCATCCATCGCTGTGCCATACATGGATTTGATGGACTGACATACCAAGCAAGATAAATATTGCAGGCTACATTGGTATATGTTCAGTTTATTATATGTCATTAAGACTGTTGGACATTATTTTTTTATTCAGTAATTCCCCTATATGGGAATGTGATAAAATTCGAAGTTAACCCCCAGTAAAGATTTCACAAAATCAATTGAAATAACGCTGTACCTCGACTGGTTTCAATTCTGGAGGCCCCATATATGGCACAATTATCTGCATTATCGTTTCATTTTTGTTGATGATTGTTTCGATGGTGTTTTGGTGCCGGAAGATAGAATAATTGATACTAATTATTGCTCCCCGTACTGAAGACACATAACATCTCAGATAATAGCAACAAGTGTTGGGAATGCGGATAAGTCGACAGGACATGGTCGCTTAAATGAGGCAGCTTCTTGATCTGCACGGAAAAATTACCAGGACCAATGCATTTAAATTGACTTCGGCAAGAAAGATGTTGTTGGAGCGATTTCACTCAAAGTAGCCGTAATTATGATTAGCGGGTGAAGACCTACTCTGTATCCTATAGTTCCGACAGGCAAAAGTTCGCTCATTACAAAATAAATTGATTAGTCAGGGTTAGCTGGATTAATAAGCAAGGCTCCTACAGATTACCCTCTCACGTTATATGCATCACATCATTTCCATGCGGTCATATATAACTTTTAATGTGTGATTAAGATTAATTGTTTAACAAATTACTCATTTCATTAGAGACTCACTAGTGGAAAGTGTCCTATCACCAACTGTAACCGCGCTTTACATCCGCATTCTTCCAAAGACATGGTACGCAACATATCTTTGAGAATTGAAGTTTATAGCTGTTCTTTAGGTATGTTCAGCAATTCACTGAAATACTATTTGTTCACTAAGGAATAAGAAATGACTGAGAGATCCATCTGACTGAAATATATAGCAAAAATATTTCAATAAGTGGCTTATATAAGAGTGAGTTTTTGATTTAGAAATAAATTGTTTACACGATGAATTTTTTTTCTATTTTTCAATTCTTACCCCTCCAGTGGGTTTGTCAGGTTTTTTACTAACTTAGGTGCATTGGAATACAAGTAAAAATAAGGGTGTTTTAGAAGTTATACCTGGACGGGGAATCCAGCATATCATTATGAGGAACAAAGCTATTATAGCGGTATATACTCAGGGCTATCACAATCAAGTTTAGTGTTATCGCTTGATTTTAATGTTTGCTGCACGGTCGGATTCTCACATTTAAAAGAAAATCAAGCTAAAAGTTTTACACGTACAAAAGTATAGGTATGGAACTGTTCTTTAATTTATCGGAAGAACTAGCGCGTTTTTAACCCACCACGTGTGTCAATGAGGATGCATATTCCTTCGATGTCATCTTACATCAAGCATTTTCAGCCATGCTATGCAAATTTATGAAATCCATTGTTTTCACAGTGAATGAACTCCAAAATATTAGCAGAGCATGACTAAATTGTCGTGTTAGCTACGCAACTGAGTATTTTTTTTGCTCGCAGAGACTCGTCTGTCGAACGTGACCGTCGGCTAGTCTTCATCATGAACGCAAAAAACGTTCGCAAAATGCGCTCTGCTTTCGTGAAACGAAATCACGGACAAAACTCGGAATTGAGATTAAGTTCAATACACAAGCGACACAAACCTTTATAAGAGTTTCGTCATCCGAGGCACACAATAAAACATTTTCTGGCTAGAGAAGAAAAAGTTAAATTATGGTAATTAAAGATTAGGATATAAAGAGTAATGATAAATAAATAAGTGCGCGCTTACCTTCCAATCCCTGTGGGTGATGCCATTTTCATGTAAGTGCAAAAATACGAAACAGTATGAATAAAGTTAGTTTAGTTCAGGCTCCTGTAGTAACACTGGATCAATAACAGATGATCCTTAGCTTGGTGTCATTAAAAGCGCCAATCTCTTCCTAACATTTTCCATAAACTTTAGTCATCGCCTGTGAATAAAATATTCCAACTTGTTTCATTCATTCTTCGAAGTCTACACATGGCTAGACTCTCGCTAAACGACATCCCCACCTGAAGGCACATTGCTTTCATAGTTGGTTTAGTTGTCAATCGGAATCTGTGGTACAGATCGTTAAACAACTCGAGCCTGAAAACAAAATAGAAAAGTCGATCGAATCGTGAATTGTTTCATCCATGATTCTATACTTCTCTACTACATACTGCAGGACAAATAACATTGTGTGAACTGTGCAGCAATATGGAGAATAGGACGCTGAGGTATATTATATATTAGATATCTGGAATCGTTTTTATGCCGCGGGAAGCAGGACAGTAGTTTGAATATTTGCAAATCCTGATAGATAAATGTCGTGGACTCACACATTTGTTATCGGCGTTTCCCCGTCGTTTTGTTCCAACAAGACTCTCAAATAATAGTCGCCTGATAGGAGAGATACGTTACTGAGTTTGATTATTGCTATCGAGAGATAGGGGGAGGGCGCTTTAAAAAGAACTGTTAAAAAGCTAGAGCAGTATAAGGATTACCACTAACCTATTTTCAGTTGATCAGGAAACCATTCATACAGGACTTCAAACTAAAGGTGATTCCAAAAAACAACGTAGTTTCCACTCAGATCTTTTTCCATTGCAAATGCGCGCAACTCAGATTCGAGAGCCCCAGAAGTTCCTCTCGCGTCTGTCACATTGAAACAAAAGAAATTGTTTCAAACTCTTTTACGAGAACAGTTTAGAGAAAGAGGTCAGGACTATTGAATTTGTCTTGTTATACTCATAGCGACAGGAAATCCTCCATTACCTTTTCATTTCCTATATTTTCAACGGAAACTAACCTTAACTTCGAGACTCACCTTGTAATTCCAAATCAGGTTGTACGCTTTCAGATCTTGACTGAATCTGTAAAAAAGATCCGTTTAAATACCATTGCTTTTTCATCTTTCAAACGACTAGAACATTTTCCCATTTTCTTAATATGAACACTTACTTGTAATAAAACAACTGGATTTAAATTCTCACATCTTTCCTGGATTTGAACCCTATTTTTGTCCTCCAATGCGAGAGATATCCTTCAAGTTTATTCCTTGACGTTCCTCTCGCTTCTCCAGAGCTCTAACAGACAAGTATAGCACGTGAAATAACAGGCTAATACGTACATACAAGCATGCATTATGAAATTTTGGAACACGATTGTTGCCTTAAAACGTACTCTGCAAGCTTTACATTGTCACGAATTGATAAATAATCTTCTTTAGTCTCTGGTGGCTAAAGGAAAGATAAAAACTTTCCAACAAAATTGTTTCTTTACAAAAAGGTTTTACACTTCTGAATGAATTACCTTTTAATTATTTCGTCAGTGGGACAGTTTAAGGATGAATGATGGAGTTTAGTTACCAAAGCAGTTGATACCACTATATCACCATATTACATAATTGTTTATGAACCAAAACTTACGAACAGGAAATCTCGCATTTAAACTTTATTGTATATTTTAGACATTAAAAACTATAACTACTTTAATACGAACATTATTCTCAAAAGTAATGCCATTGCTGTTGGATGATCAGTTGTCCAGAGAGCCACAAGATGTCCACTCAATTGCCTATATGCCAACAATAAAGATTATAAATTACTTATGGAGTATGCTTGTTAGTCTCAATTGAACTATTTACAGATGGCTAGTATATAGAGGATTATAAAATCACAAGTTTTAAGATGAATCTAAGAATGTTGCTAAAATGTTGCTGGTTGAGTAAACAGCGTGTGTTGTGGTTAAAGATAAACGTTTCTCACCTAGTGAGCGTTGTGAAAGCGCGAAACCTGCTTTGGATCGAACCCAACTTCTCAAATCGTGAAACAGTGCTTCGAGATCTTTATCTCATATTTTGTTTTGGTCTCCTGCAAATAGACGAAACTTTTTAACTATTTTATGTATATATAGAACACCTGTGAAGGTAATAGCACTCAGAATATGTATATTTTTGGGTTGAACACTAAATAAATTTATTGGCAAAGATATACAATACCTTTGTGAGCAATGAGCATTTTGATAAGTCTTTCTTTATTCTATTAGAAAAGTCCCTACAAAATATTTAAAATCGTTTGAAATATATATTGGAGTTTAAAAGACTTAATATTCCAGCCGTACTTCTGGCGGGAAAATTTCAAAACTACCATTTCATGGATTCGGACCCAGTCAACTCAGCAACCAGAGTTACCGCAGCCTAGTCCCTAGGCTTCTTAATGTTCCTTATACGCGGCGAGGTGGGAACTGAGAGGCCTAGAACAAAATGTTTTGTATTTTAGCTAAAGTGGGGACTTTTTGTCCCCACTTTCTGTATTGAGGTCAGTTTACGATCTACGACGCGGTTAACTGGCCTTGTTCGACGTCGTTAGTCAAACATTTGCTTGAAATAAGCTACGGGATATTAATTATATTGCGAGGAGTCGAAATATTCATACAAACGTTTCAATGTCGCTCGCTGTCAACGCTATCGACTATCAAGTAAACTCGAGTCAGTACGTACATGTTTATGATTATAATAAACTTCAATCCACCAATTAACAATTATTGGATGAGGTTGAGTGTGATATCGAGAATTATCAAGCTGAAGTTTGCGTTATTTGCCGAAGCGAAGCTGAGGCGGATAACGCAAACTGAGGCTTGATAATTCTCGATATCATGCGAAAACCGAATTCAATAATTGTTTTATTATGTATTTCCTTTTTAAAGACGAAGTTTAACAACAAACTAGCGGTAAAAATTACGTCACCTACGGATAATTTTCAATGTCGTGTAGATGGCAAGACATTGAGAATTATCTGTAGCTTTTTAGCCAATCACAATCGATATTGCCTTAACAATGCATAATAATTTAAATTATTCTCGCTTCCTTTATAACGGTTACTGTTGTAAATTGCAAACATTTACTTTAATAACAATTCTAATTTCAAGGTCACAACATTAAACGGGCCGTTAAGATTAGAAAATATTTTGTGTTAGGCCTCTCGCGCGCGTTTCATTCGGTGACGTGACGGAAATATAAAACACGCGCAATGAGAGGTCTGGGACTAGGCTGGAGTTACGGCGGTTTTTAGGGAGTACTATTAGTGTTTTGTGTACATTTGTGCACAGAACAGTAGCAGGATAGGGTATTTTTATTAAAGCTATACTCTTTGCCTTTGGCTATACTGGATAAACCAGTTTAAATGTACCGTGTTGTTTGCAGACGTTTTAAACCCTGCTAAATGTTTTCAATTAGCAACCGAAATGGGCAAATGTTTTCATTTAACGTAACTATGCAGCCTAGCAATCGTTTAGTTTACACTAAAGGCTGCTTTCTACTTACGCGTTTTTTATACGCATGTACACATACGGAGAATTTTAATTGCTTTTAAATTTTTATTAATTATCATGCATCTAGGTCGATTTATTCACTTCGTTTTTTCAAAGGTAACATGTATAAGAATTTAGATTTTTATGTGCGTGTACGTGCGTATGAAAAACACGTGAGTGGAAAACAGCCTTAATCCAGATTTTGACAAAACATTAAAACTCAATAAAAAGGCAATAATATTCTCTACACAGGATTTCGTCTGCAGAAAAGTACAAGATAAGAAGTTGTCAACTTACGTCTTGGGTGACTGCATGAAGTAGACCGCAGTAGGAAATATTGCAGTTAAATCTGTACACAGCTTCGGTTAAATTTCCTGCAAGGAACCAGTCATAAGACAATATAAGTTTTTGGAGATATTTCAAAAATTTAAAGTGAAATAAAAAGGGAAATATTTCACCTGGAGATGCAGCGAGGAATTTAAATGACTGCTTTCTACTTCTTCGTCAACAACATTATACAATGGACCCCAACGATAACCTTGAAAAATATATCATCTTAAAAAAAATTCTTCTTTTGCTGTATGTGATGTATTGAACTGGCTAATAGGAATAACGCTATTAGCTGATACCTGACGAGAAGTGTAATTGTTGGTGTGTTATATGAGATCACATACGTCAGCAGGAGAATGAAATGAGGGATCGTATTTAGGGTAATCATAGCAGTACGAGATTTTCATCAGGAAAATTTTGACCATAATTTTCGCTCAATCATCTATGAATAAGCGTACAGTACTTCTCTTCGTTGGGGTCGTTTTTACGCAAACATCTATGTTTCAACTGGCTCTAACACCGTCTAGCAAACCAGCCAATAATGTTTCCCTAGATTGAGTGAAATACAAGCATTCAAAACAAGAAATATTTTTTTTTAGCTTCATACAAAATTTGCTTTCTTACACTACCTGTCAGGAGACGAGTAATTTCTCAGCCGACCGCTTGTGTATTCCAGCCCGAACGACTGAGGATGGTTTCGATTTCGAATTATTAAAAATATCTGACAGGAAAAGAAGTTTGAAAACTATGATATACTATACGGTATATACGGTATATTCTGGAAAGTAACTGGAAAAATAAAACTATTTTAACTCGGCTGGATACTTTTTTGCAATTGGACATGTTCAAAATGGAAACGTGAAATAAAAAAGACGATAAAAGCAGTAAACTTGAATCCAGGTCAGAAAACATTGAGTGTTTGGAGTGTTTTCTTTCAAGGTCAGATATGAACAATTACTGGAACTGACATGGAATATCGCATGACTTAATGAGCTAAGGGGATGAAGGGTGACGATATTGTACGTTTCTAAGAAACACAGCGTTCTTTCAACAGGATCCTAAATTTGAGAGTGTCAAAACGATTTTAAAATGAGAAAAAGGATAGACTCTTAGAAGAATTTTATTAACAACATAACTCACTTTACTCCGAGGAGTTTCTTTATAGACGCTGAATTCTGACATTGATGTGATATTTTCGTCATCACTGAAACGAAAAAATTGTCATTTACTGTCATATCCCACATTCTTTACACAGGACAAACGAAATACTGTCTTAATAATATATCATTCAACTGTATTTTCCAAATTTGTTATAAAAAACGACTCCACTTTGATGGAACTTTTCTTCTGCCTAATACCGAGGCAAAAGAAATAACAAATACAGCTCAAAGTAAATTACAGACCTGGAAAAATTTTGTCAAAAACGGTTAAAACGTAAACAAATAAAGTAACCTGAATATAAGTCATTTTGTCATTTACTTAAAATTTGTTTACTTAAAATGTTCACATACTTTATCGTAACACCAACATTATTGAAAGAAGATTCCATCATCTTTTTCAGCAATTCCTCTCTGATGTGAAAAGATGCTGGAAAACAAAAGCAAAATTGTGCACAAAATGTAAAACTTCAATTTACAGAAATAACTGGTATCTTATCTTTTTGTTATATTATGGCTGGTACTAGCAACATCTGGTACATACCATTGTGCTAAAACCACCACAGACAACAACAAATCCTGTAGGATAATCTGAGACCTAAGTATAGAAATGGAATGAAAGCCTGAGTTGAATTATTCCAATCACAAATATTCAAATGTCTGGCAATATCAAGTATATATATATATATATATATATATATATATATATATATATATATATATATATATATATATATATATATATATATATATATACTGTCGTTGTCAAAAAGGTTGTCCTGAGCAAGTATATGTATATATCGATCACGTGACATTATTATGCATCAACACGCGTGGGATTGTACAAGCGTGTTAATTGCGAGTTCGAGTATAGCAAGGTGCACGATTAGAAAATGCCAAGACCATATTCGGATGATTTAAGTTGGAGAATGGTTTATCAACGACTGTTCTACGAAAGAATCATCGACGAAATTGCAGCACAGCTATTTGTTTGTTCAAAAACCATCTATCGTACTCTCAGCACCTTTTGGAACACGGGTGATCGATGTGAAGCCTTGCCGTATGGGTCGCCCAACAGCGAGCGCATCTTTATTCCCACAAGAAGAATATATTATCATGGACTGTTTACTGCGAACGCCGCAAATACAGTTGAATGAGATAGCAAGCTATATGTAAACCTCTTCAATAGGATTCAAATCAGGACTGTCGTACACTCGTTCTACAACTTCTTGTACATGATGTGTTGGGTGGTTATCTGTTAACAAATATGCGTATTACTAGTTTTAGCAGTTGCATCTTTGTGCATCAACAAGTTTTGTTTAAACAGATATCAATAGATCAAAACATGATCACGAATTCAGTCATCCCTTGAGACATATGTTAGAACAGCGAATTTGCATTAATTATATTCAAATCTCAACCATATAACGAGAACGGATCGCGGGTTTTCCCCATCAAATCGATTTATAGCTGGTAAAAGCTGTTCATCAAGAAAATGGATAAAGGAGCGTGTTTCAAATCTTTCTTCGGGATTCTTCAACAAACAGTTCGCAAGAAGTCCATCACACAATATTGCCGAAATAATGGAATAGCGCGGTGTCCACCGTGCATAGCTATAGTCGCTCACAACAGGCGGTATCCCACGAGCACTATATCCATATTGCTGAGCAATTCGTTTATTCTTAAAACGTAGAACCAAATAAATAAGAGATCTACTAGTTTGTGCAATCCAGTTACAGTAAGGTATTATTTAGTACATACAATGCCTGTTTCATCGAGGAAAACGAGCAGGTTTGGGTCAAAAAGGCTGATTTCGGCCATGAATTGTAGCCTAATATCGTTTCTTCGTTGAAGGGCAATTCTCTGTATCTGAAAAAGAAAATCTGGCTTGAAGAGTTGATAAAGAACAACTAGAAAAGGTGGAATGGCTTGCGTCTTATTAATATAGTTATATGATTTCAAGCGTGCGGTATTGACTATTGAGTATATATTCCAACTTAAATAATGTCATAATGTTCGTACCTTTTTGCGTGTTATTCCAAGTCTATAGAGAGCTCGGCACAGTGTCTCCGGGCCAAATGCAGAGCCAGTAGCATTAATGATATAGCTTGCTATCTCATTCAACTATATTTGCGGCGTTCGCAGTAAACAGTCCATGATAATATATTCTTCGTGTGGGAATAAAGATACGCTCGCTGTTAGGCGACCCATACGGCAAGGCTTCACATCGATCACCCGTGT